AAACCACCCACAAACTCAATTAGAAACAAGCTTTGTCGGTTAAAGGATCAATCCTGTGGAACCTTTAAAACAAAACAATTCAGTTTATCTTATACCCTGTGTGCAATGATTGTCAGGTCAAATACAAAGGTCAAACTAGTAGAACAGGGGGAGTCAGCCAGACTAGTCGAACATAAAAACTCAGCAAAATCTAGATTGGTTGACCCAAATAAGATAAGAAATCTGGAGATTAGTTCAACTATTGCATTCACTACATGCAGTTACACACAACCATATAACAGGATGCATAGGATAATATGACAGTTTTAAAATCTGATGTCACAGGGTGGAGGGAAAGATTGACGACGGAAGCTTTGTTTATCTAATCGACTGCAAATAGGAATGTAATAGGAATGATTCATCATCTGTCCACCCAGATATCTGGAAAATTCTATAGCCTCAATGACGACAAATAGGAGAAGACAAAGAAAGCTATAAAACTCAAGTTTCGAAGTCATGTGATTACAATTGATATGATTGTGAACAGTGATGAATTGTGTTCGAAACGTCATCCAGTAAACAGTGCTGTTTCGTCACTGTGTGTACATTAATAAACAAACTAATATAGTCTAGAAACTGATAATTCTTATCGAGTGACATCACTACTGTTCACTGAAAAGGTTTTTTAACACAAGAACAGTAAGTATTGTGAAGTACTAGGTATTTTTGTTTGTATGTAAACTAACTTCACAAAAAAAGTCACAGAAGTATAAACCATATCTTATCAGTGCTTTAGCATTGATTGTTGTCAGCCGATGAAGTTTGCTCTGAAGCCTAGTAAAAAACATCAAACTGAGTTGAATTTTCAGGATTTCATCATGAGCTGACATTAGTCACAGAACCATTGGAAAACCTGGGAGTGCTGGACAGCTGTTTCGTCCTAGATTCGGACTCTTCGGCAGTATGCAACCACCGGGATTCGAACCCAGGGCCTTCCGGTTACAAGGCGAGCTCGTATACCATTAAGCCACTGGGAGACGTTCCAATGGTCGCGCTATGTCGTGAATTGGCAGAAGTTAGAATTCAAGGACCATTTGAACGGGTCTCAGTGGCTTAATCCTATACGAGCTCGCCTTCTTACCGGAAGGTCCTGGGTTCGAATTTCGGTGGGTGCGTACTGATGAAGAGTTCAAAACTAGGACGAGACAGCTGTCCAGCAATCCGGTGCAGGTTTTCCAATGGTTCTCCAACTAATGTTAGCTGATAATGAAATCCTGAAACCCATCAAATCCCTACAAACCAACACTTTGATCAGTTGAATTTGTTGGTGGCAGAGCTTTTCATGACATATTAGTGTCATCATCAACTTCAGTAAAGAATTCTCTGAAGTTCACTGCCAGTTTTTTTGAAAACTCTGAATCAATTAGATTCTGTGCTCCCTAATACTGACTAGCAATTGAATAGTTAAAACAGGAGTACAGTAAAATGTTCATTGACTGAGTGAGACATACGTGACTCTAAAAATGTCTTTAAAGCTTTAAGAGTGTCCTATTCGGAAGAAACTGATGCTCACAGTCAGTATCACTTCAAAATTATTTATGCATAATATTTAGATCATGAGTTTCTGTAGGGATTCAGATTAATTCCATGAACCAACATTAGTTAGAGATCGCTAAACACCAGGGAGCACACGACAAATATTTTATCATTATCTGGTACTCTTCATCACCCCCAGTGGGGATCTCTCCAAAGACATTCGAGCTACGAGGCAGAGCTAAGCCATTCGAATTCGATGATCTGTGAGTTTTAACTCCCATGATATAAGGCTGCCGCGAACCGATGTCTAGTCTAGAATGAACATCAAATTTTACTTTAATGTCTTGAACACCACTCTAGCCACTATTTTTCAATGCTCTTTCATGTTATCGATCCAGTAGATTGATAGGGTCGAGGGTGAGCGGTGCTGAAAGAAACCAATTCAGGATGAAACAGCTGACATAGGCTCGGTTATAGACGAAATCTACATCGAAATTTGTGTATTAGTTGTAATCATATGAACTTCTGAATGCCTTTAATACATACACGCACACACACACAATGAAACTTCGACTGTTCATATGCTTCCTTTTAAATAATTTTTCTAATGTTCAGTGTGACTGACCCTGATACTGTTACTGAGTAAATTTACTGAAAAATTCTGGGGTTTTATTCCTAAATAAATGCTTAAAGATGTTGAAAATCAGGGTGTACTGGACACATGTTTTGCTTTAGTGTAGGACTCATCGGCAGCACAAACCCACTGGGTTTTGAAACCTGAACCTTGCATTTACAAGGCAAGCTCACAGACCATTCAGGCACTAGGAACTAACCAACTCAACCGCCTATGAATTCTAACTTCTACCAATTTTGTGATTAATTTAAGCTCCAGTGATTTGCTAAACAATGCAGTTTCCTGGAGTGAGTTCTATTGAGAAGTTGTGACCAGTGAAATCCATCCAGTTGGGTGAAAGAGGATGAAACTCCAAGTAGATGAGATCGGTTGGTGGTTGCACTTAATGCATCACGAATCGGTAGAAGTTAGAATTCAAGGAATGGCTGTTGAAGCGAGTCCCAGTGGCTGAATGTTTTACTAGCTTGACTTGAAACCGAAAGATCGTGGGTTAGAACTACGTTGTTTGATGCCTACTTTAGATAAGCCTCAAACCAGGATGAAACAGTTGTCCAGTAATCCTTGTTTCTCCAACTGATATCAATCCATGGTCTTTTTTTTTATTTTCCTGCACGTTCCCAGTGGAACATAGGGCTCCAAGCTACATGCTTGAAGTTTCTGTAGCAGTGGTGATTATTTTTACAGGATGGGGTTGCTAGCCTCATGCCAAACCTTTCCTCTTCACCAGTCTCACTACTGGCTTAGCGAGGTAAAGCAGTGCGCCGGCCGGGGATCGAACCCCGAACCATGTGCATGGTCGGCGAGCGTCCTAACCGCTATGCCACCAACGCATAGTCTAACCTGAAGCAAATAGAATTCCTACAATCTTATTCTTAAAATACATTACACACTTCAGATGAATTAGGTCTTCTCATTGCTTCGTTGAAATTCATAAGGAAAATGCATGAGATTAATCCTAATCACAGTCCATACAATTTTTCCTATTTTGCTTCTGATGACTAATCACTATTCAGACAAGACTGAACAATAATTCTAAAAACAATATTTTTCCTTTTATGTATACCTGTATACTTTTTATGTTTTAATTCTCAGTATTTTCCTGAAGAAGTTCTACCCATCTAACTGGACGAAACGTTGTTATTAGATGGTCGGAAGCAGCCGACAGGAAGGCCTTCCTACCTCACCTAAGTTTCCAGCTAGTTGGCATGTCTCTCCCTTCTGAGATTCTAACCGACGTCACTCAGTGCTACCTGTAGTCAGAGACGTTACCACTGAGCAATTCGAGTACGCGATTGACTGAGTGTATTGGCTATTTTTGATTGCACACTTGTTAGTAATTAACTAGTGTGATGTGTCTAGTCCTTTTGTTTGATGCAGACTGAATTCTTTCAGACAAAACGTTGAAATTATTTATTTCAGTTTTTCTCAGACTTATAGGAACACAGTTTTCAAGTTTTCGTCAGCAGTGATTCAAGTGGTGACAGATTTGATCATGTGTTGAAGTCGGTTGTAGAACCATTGGGGAAAACCTGGGAGTACTGAATAGCTGTTTCTCAATCGTTTGTGTCTGCTCATCAGTACGCACTCACCGGGGTTCGAACTCATGACCTCTCATTTACAAGGTGAACTTGCACACCATTCAGTCTCCGGGATATGATTCAATGACCGACGAATCCCAGCTTTCGCCAACTCGTGATATTTATAGCGCAATCATCAGTTAATGTCAAAGTCGAGTATCAGCTCTCTTACCAGGCTCAAGGTGTCATTTACACTTAGCGCCCAATTACTGTAGAACGCAAGTGTTGGTTTGTAGGGATTTGATTGTTTACAGGATTTCATCATGAGCAGACATTGGTTAGAGAACCATTGGAAAACCTGCACCGGAGTACTGGACAGCTGTTTCGCCAGCCTAGTTTGGGACTCTTCAGCGATGCGCAATCACCACAGGGAGTTTGAACCCAGGACCTTCTGGTTACAAGACTAGAGAGCTCGAAGACCATTAAGCCATTGGGACCAGATCCAATAGTCAATCCATGAATTCTAACTTCTGCCGGTCAATTCAAGATATAGCGCAACCGCTAGCCAATGTCTTCGGCGAGTATTTGTCCGCACACCCGACCTGCTACACCCTACTGGTCACGACCAGAGGGTCCTGGGTTCTAACCCCGGCGGATGCATACTGCTGAAGAGTCCCAAACTAGGACGAAACAGCCGTCCAGTACTCCTAGGTTTTCCAATGGTTCTCTAACTAATGTCAGCTCATGATGAAATACTGTAGAACTGTCGGATCAAACCTTGATCAGATGCCGAGTAAGTTACCTATATACGATTCATGATAAAGGTGAATATACAAAAAAAGAGAAATTTTCATTTAACCAACTAACTTACTCATTAATCATTTGTTCCCATTTTTCACAAAGAGAATTACTTGAGAATCGTATTGCCCAATTCTCAGTGAGTGGACGTCCAACAAGGAGAAGGAGACTAGTATCAACTAATACATTATTGTCATTCAATGAAGAAGACTGAGCATTTGTCAGCTTTATTATATCAGGATCCAATGATTGACTATTGTTATTATCAATTGGTGGACTATTCAAATCACCGCCGACACCACCTCCACCCGCGTCTTCTAGACTAGCCGTTGATATCCCTGAAGACGACGAAGCATTACACTTCATATTCTCTATATCGATTTCTGATGCTTTCAAATGCTTTTGACTTTGATGATGATGGTGATGATTGCTTTTATAATTACTGGTAGATTTTGATGCATATGTGGATAGCCTTGAGAATAGGTCTTCACTGCTCAAACTGTCACACCATACTTCATGCAGGGGAATAATATGAGCTAAATCACCAGTTGATAAAAACGCCTCTGGTCCAATGGCCATTGTGTTAACACTAAATGGTCGGAATAAAGGAATAGTGTTGATTTCTGCGATTGATGAATTGTCTCCAGGCTGATTGTTTGTTCTACGGGGAAACGAGGTAGCTATAATCAGGAAGGAATGGAAAAAAAGAAGGAGAGGAGATAGGTTTTTGGGTTTTACTATTTAGAAATAAAATAATAATAATAATGATTTGCTTTATTCTTGTAGCAGAGAATTCTCAACAATTGGTACCTTATTGTATCTGATTTACATTCCATAGTGCAGGTTACCGAAAGTGATATTGGTATTTAGCAGTAAAAATTAAGTCAAAAAATATGTACCAAAAGTGTAAAGTGATAGTAGTAGTAATAGTAATAAAAATTTTACAAACACAAACTATGAGATGATTGAAATAGTGTCACCATAAATTACAATTAGCAGAAGATCAAAGAATCCGCTTATTATTGCTAATTACACTATTTCTATCGCATAAAACGCTGGCCAACTAGGCTGTCGTTGAGATTTTTTCTCTCAGTTGTGCGAACATATAATCTCTTATAGCGACTTTTAGTCGTACCTGATTAGCATCAATGGAAAAAGTGGCCATGCACCACTAACTACCAATCACCGAACGAAGTTCAATTATCCAATGAGATTCACGAATGTGAGTTCAATGTTGTATAGCGCTTGATTCATTTCAAATACGTGCCCTAACAAGGTTACAAGTGCAATTCGAGGAGGACGCTGTTCTCCAGTATTGCCTGTATTTAGGCTTGCTCTGGAAAGAGCGAACTTGTTCGCGTGGTGGTGTCATGACTTTAAAAATCTATAGCAGGTCAACTGATGGATTTGTCCATCGTTGCGCAATATGCTTGAAGCGAGTTAGCATGTATTAGAGAGGGTAAGCTGATAATTTTAATATTTCGTTGGAACTTTTTTTGCAAGGTCACACTTCTCCTTGACGCAAATTTTGTATATTTGCAACCACTGGGTATTGAAACAGCCAGTGAGAGCCGCAGCTGCTGAGACGGAGAATAGACTCGTGCCAACAGTTCAGTGGTACCAGCATTGCAGAGATATTGCTTCTTGGAAATTGGAGAAGATCAATTCTTTGTTGGGTGGAGAAGACGTTGTTGTGCACGTGGATGAAACTGTGTTGGTGAAAAAGAAATACAACAGTAGTCGCCAGCGAGCGAACAATATTTGGGTAATAGGTTTATACGACACCTCCCTCCGAAAAGGATTCGTGGAAAGAATAGCAGATAAAAAGGCGACTACTCTAATACCTATTAATACGAGACTTGTAGAGCGGGGATTAATAATACACACGGACCAATGGAACAGTCACAATTCCCTGTCATCTCTGGGATATATTCATCACAGAGTCAGCCATTCAAGAGATTTTTTGGATCCCATTACGAGGACTCATACAAATTCTATTGGAGGATTTTGGGGCCAGTTGAAAAATAGGATAAGGGCTATAAACGGATCTCAAAAAGATCTCATTTATAGTCATTTAGATGAATATATGTGCAGAATGTGGTGTAACTTTCCTGTTGAGAGTCCTATGCTTAACTGGGAGATGTTTCTCTCACATGTTAGAGAAAGATACCCCCTGTAGCAGTTTTATGCTTTTTTATGCCTTTTTCTGTAAATATACGTTTCCATTTATCATAAATGCCTCTTTAGTGTGATTGGTCCATTCAAGGTCGTTTGCCGATTAATTGTTAGTGGTGTTGAAAGTTTAACTTTGCCGAAAAAACGTGAATAGAGAGGATACTGATAGTCAGACAATATGAATTTAGCCCTCTTTTCTTGCATGAGTTCAGATGTCTGTCGGTTACAGTGGTCACTAGCTGGCTGATTTAGTGGTCCTACTGACAACTTTTAATACCCTTCAGAATATGACATAGTCCTACCTTAGTAGCTCAGAAAAGACTTATGGGGGATCAATAAAGGATGTAAGAGTTAACAAACTGTAAAAGTATAAGTATAAAACTTGGGCACTGCGGTAGAGTATAACTCCATTATGGATAAGATTTTATTTTGATAAATCACACAATGTTGTACAGTTATATTAACTGATGACGTTTCGAGCACAAACTATTGCTCATAATCATATCAAGTTGATATGATTATGAGCAATATTTAGTTACTATATCGGTGCTCTCTATGCTACAGGCATCATGTAAACGGACCGGTTCGTGTAGATTCTTCTTACTCCTGACGGTCAGGTTAACTATCTCACAGTTCGGAGGGGGGGATGTGATGTTCGACGGAAAACTATTCAATTTAAAACAGTCATAAGGGGGAAGTAACTAGCAGTGAGACGGTCATAACATCAGTAATAATTAACTTAGTTGATTTCTTCCGAAACAGGGAAGTTGTGTAAGAATAAAAAGAAAAACAGAAGCGATGAGAGGACGGCAACATGAGTAACACCAGCACCAGTCAGAAAAGCAAAGGAAGATTTGCCTCTTATTCCGTTCGAGAAATAAATGTGTAATCAGTTAACAAACCAGGACTCAGTTTGTGTCAAGGAAAGCTTATTTAATAGAAGATGTATAGGTACAGAGTCAAAAGCATATGTGCAATCAAGGAAGGATCTTTATCACTTGTCTTTGTCCATCCTTCCAATGCTTCTCGTTGTGTTTGTGTGATGGGTGATATTGCTAGTGTGCTTCTTTTACGACTTCAATTTTTTTTGAGTCAGTGGAAGTGGGATTGTGACTTTGGATTGCCTTTGTGAATTGTTGGTGTGTGATTCTTTCTGACAGAGTTTTGATTTCACCTTGATTCTAACTAGCTGATTTGTACTTACAAACTTATGTAGACTGTACAACGAACTAACTAACAGAACTCTTAAGAAGCACTGATTTTAAGGTGAATAATCGTCTTTTTGCTGTCCTTGAAGTGTTTTGTACCTGCTTGTATGTGCGCGTCCCAGGGAAGTCTCGATCAGCCCTACTTTGGGACACAAAGATCAACATCCTGCGTTTAGACCTCAGCATAGGTGATGAAGATTCCTGGGCAACACCAAACAGCAGCAACAACAACAACAGACAACAATCAGCCGGGCATAAATGGGAGGAATCTGAAAGAAACAACCTCCTTTACCTACCTGGGAAGCATCGCTATTTCAACTACAGGCGGACGGAACTGGTCAGGATATCAAAGCAAGGATCAGAAAAGCAAGACAAGCTTTCATTACCCTCATCAAGTCTGTGTGGAGGTCAGCAGCACTCAGCATGAAAATGAAAATAGGATCCGGATTTTCAAGTCGAATGTGAAGTCAGTGCTACTTACTGTATGGAACAGAAACTTCGCGTGTCACGAAGGGCACTTCAAACAAACTACGGATATTCATTAACAACTGTTTTAGCTCAATAATACTCACAATCAGATGGCCAGAAAAGATCAGCAACAGGCAGGGATATCTGGGAGCGAACCAATCCAGCAGGAATTGATTGTGCCAGAAATAAGTAGGAAGAAGTGGAGGTGGATTGGATTGCCCATACGCTGAGGAACCTATGAAGTGACATTGTGGTGAGAGCAGGCTGCTAGCCGATTGGTTGGCACTAATCTACGTTAATGTCTAGGTCACTAATATTGACCGTGAACAAGGCTGTTTCAACAACCAATCACAGCAAACCTAAATGTGGACAAATATGATTCGCAGATAGATGGCTCTACTTTCCGAGAAATATCGAACACAACCAATCATAAGACTGTGTTTGTCTGCTTAACTTCCGAGAAACAACCAATCAGAAGACTGCCTTTTTCTGCTTGCATAAGCCTTATTAATGCATATAAAATATATATAAATACGTGTTGATTTTCGTAATAAAACGATCTGTTGCCAGCCCTTGTCTTCTGTTGTTACATTTGGTGTCGCTGCCTCCAAGAAGATGAAGATCCCGTGGCCAGCTGCGTTTGAAGAAGGTGACATACGGAGCTTCTTACGTGACTTCGAGCCGTTGCTGAGCTGGTGGGTGTCAAGGAGCAGGCGGCGAAGGCAGTTGTCCTGGGGACGCTGTTGAGAGGCCGAGCGAAGGCTGCATATGACAGCGTAGACAGGTCAAATGGCACAGCGTCTTGGAAGAAATTGGTTGAACGACTAGTGTCCGAGTTTGACAGCGAAACAGACAGACAGCTAGCAATGCAGCAGTTCCGGTCAATGAAGCTTGGACCTGATGGAGACCCGCTAGTGTTGGCGGTGAAACTGACTAATCTACTTCGACGCGCGCTTCCCACTTTAGATGAAGAATCAGAAGCGCAGTTACTGTCTTCCCAATTCATCGAGAGTGTCCCCGACCACATTTCTCAGCGATTAAAACTGGTTAACGCAACGCAGCCGATGGATATTAGTGAGCTGGCGAAGGTGACCAGACAGCTGCTGAGCACAACGGTAGCCGCTATAGACCAACCAAAACCAAACGAATATGAGCAAAAATTGAAGCATTGCAGCGGGAAGTGGCGGCGTTAAAGTTGGCTGATAGAAAAGACCGGTGTTTTGAATGCGGTAAGCCGGGACACTGGAGAAGATACTGCCCAGAAAGGCGAAAAAGAAAAAATTTCAGACGGTATAATGCTTGTTCTTTCTTTCGTATGAACCTAGATTTAGTGGGGGCTATTGAGAAAGGCGCTCTGTATTCGAAGTTGCGAGTGAATGATCGAGAAGTAGTATGTTTGATAGATACAGGGCGGCCGTGTCGTTAATAGATAAGAATTTATGTAAGAGTGTTAGTCCGTGTTCATTGACAGTACAAACAGTAGGCGGGTATGTGTTGCGTATCACGGGTAGATCGAACTGTACGGTCGTTGTTGGTGGCTGCGAGGTGACGTTTCCTTTCATTGTTGTACCCGAACTACAGCGAACGATATTAGGAGCGGATTTTCTGCGTGAGATTGGTGCCATAATCGACACGCAAGCGAACGTGGTGATCACGAAATACGGGCATATCAACATGTATGAGACCAGCGAGATAGCAGCGATTAAGCTGTCGACGGTACACAATGTGACAGAGTTAATTAATAAATACGATCATCTGTTCACTGGAGATGGGACCCATACGGTTATTGCGATAAGGTGAATCATGAAATTCCGTTAAGTGATCCGAAAGTAAGGTCATTTTTAACGCGAAGAGTTCCATGTCATCTGGAAGGCGAAGTGGAGCGACAAGTGCAAGAGATGTTAAAAGATGATATTATTGAGGAAGCTGATAGCCCATACAACTCTCCAGTGCTGTTAGTAAAAAAAGCGAATGGGAAGTATAGATTCTGTGTTGATTTCCGACAGTTAAACAGTATGACAGAGTTAAGACCGTGTGCCATGCCAACAGTGGTAGAAACTTAGATCGCCTACAAGGTGCGAATGTGTTTTCGGTTCTCGATCTTCGCTCAGGATACTGGCAGATACCGATAAAACAAAGTGACAGAGATAAGACGGCTTTCATCGTGGGTCAGACACAATATCGATTTAAACGCATGCCGTTTGGACTAGCAGGTGCACCGTTTACGTTCAGACGACTGATGAAGCTATTACTTAAGAACTTGAAAAACGTGGAGGTTTATGGTGATGATCTCGTCATATACAGTCAAACGAAAACGATCACGTCAACCATGTAGAAGCCGTGCTGCGACGCATCGAAGAGTTTGGACTACGCGTCAACAAAACCAAGTCTCAGATAGCCAAAAAGAATGTTACTCTGTTGGGACATAAAGTGGGAAATGGTGAGATTAAACCACTGCCGGAGAAAATTTTGACGATTAAAACGATTCCAGCCCCGAATTCAAAGAGAAAACTGAGACAATTCTTGGGTAGAGCAGCGTTTTATAGTCGCTTCGTGAAGAACTTCAATGAGATAGCAGCCCCTCTATACAGGCTACTAGGTGAGCCAAAGTTTGTTTGGTCGGAAGAATCGCAGAGGACATTCGACAGAATTAAACAGCTGCTCGACCACCAACAAATGACGCTAAAACTACCTGTGCCAGGAAGACAGTTCACAGTGTGCACAGATGCCAGTGACTACGCTATAGGTGCGGTCCTAAGACAGGACGAGGGAATCGTTGAGTATGCCAGTAGGGTTTGACCCTCACAGAGAGAAAGTATTCAACGATAGAGAAAGAATGTTTAGCAATGGTATGGGCAGTCGACAAATGGAGACCTTATTTACTCGGCCGGCGGTTCCACATCGAAACTGATCATAAGCCGCTACAATTTTTGAAGACAGCGAGAGACCCACGGGGGAAGTTGTCACGGTGGATGTTGCGTCTTCAGGAGTACGATTTTACGATCTCACACGTTCCTGGAAGTGAAAATGTCTTGGCAGATTTGTTATCGAGACCAGAAGATGAGTCTGAGTTGCCCGAGGTCGCTTACGGAGTGCATGCAGTAGAACAAGACCCACTAAGACTTGCACGTAGGCAGAGGTTGGACGATACGCTGAATACAGTAATACAGGTGATCACCAACGGAATAGAAGTGGATCAAACTACGGCGAGTAAGGAGCTAACCACACTACTCAGACAGAGGGATCGACTCAGAGTGAATGCCTACGGGACTCTGACCTGGCGAGAGAACGACGGAAGCTGGCTGGCTGTCATACCTCAATCGTCGCGCCACGACATGATAGAAGAATGTCACCAGCTAGCGCATACAGGCGTGGCCAGAACGACCGACCTCCTAAGACAAAGTATGTACTGGCCAGGTATGAGAGAAGACGTAGCAAGATACGTACTTGGATGTCCACGGTGCCAGCTGATGAAAGGTGACCGGTATATACGACCACCACTTCAGTCGATTCCAGTTACCGCGATAGGTGACTTGTGGTCCGTAGATGTCATGGGTCCATTTCCTCAGACATCCAATGGTAATCAGTACCTCTTGGTGATGACGGAACACGCGACACGATGGGTAGACGCCGTAGCAATCCCAGACCAACGTGCAAGAACCGTGACAGATGCAGTAGTTAGACACATTGTTGCAGACCACGGCGTACCGAAGACAATACTGACAGACCAAGGTCCCTGTTTCGAGAGTGAAGAGTTTACTTCCCGTTTGCAACAGCTGGGCATCAAGAGGATCAGAACGACCCCATACCATCCACAAACGAATGGCCTAACGGAGAGAAACAACCGTACACTGAAAGAGTGGCTGGCTTCGAAGGGCGGGAACTGGGAAACGGAGCTTCCACTGATTTTACTAACACATCGGGCTACCACTCAGGAAACAACGAAGAAGTCACCCTTCCAACTGATGTATGGTAGAAAACCACGATTACCGGTACACAATGAGACCTGGCCCATGCACCAAAAGTGGAGTACGACGAAATTAAAAGCAGAGAGGAAAGAGGCAGTCAAGAATGTAATACGGAAGCAGCGCAGTGATGTCACGAAGTCTCAGATGAAAGAAAGGACGCAGTGCATTACCTTTGCAGTCGGGGACCAAGTGAAGTGTAGAGACAGGAGATATACAGTTGGAGGCGGGCTAGGTTCACGGAAACTCCTTCCAAAGTGGGAAGGACCATACACAATCACAAAAAGACGGGGTCAAGTATATACCATCCGAAGAGGTGATAAACAGAAACGAGTTAACGCCAGTCAGCTACAAAGATGGGTACAGTGGGACAAGCCGGTCAGTAACAATCCTCAACTAGAGGATGTAGCACCCAGAAGGTCGGAACGTCTGCGCACAAAGCTATTTGACGGGGGGACGAGTGTGGTGAGAGCAGGCTGCTAGCCGATTGGTTGGCACTAATCTACGTTAATGTCTAGGTCACTAATATTGACCGTGAACAAGGCTGTTTCAACAACCAATCACAGCAAACTAAATGTGGACAAATATGATTCGCAGATAGATGGCTCTACTTTCCGAGAAATATCGAACACAACCAATCATAAGACTGTGTTTGTCTGCTTAACTTCCGAGAAACAACCAATCAGAAGACTGCCTTTTTCTGCTTGCATAAGCCTTATTAATGCATATAAAATATATATAAATACGTGTTGATTTTCGTAATAAAACGATCTGTTGCCAGCCCTTGTCTTCTGTTGTTACAACATCACTAGACAAGCCATTGCTCGAGTGGAACCCGAAAGGGAAGCGGCGAGTTGGTCATCAGTGAGAGGGTGACAACATGGAGGAGGCCATGTGAAGAGGAGATGAAAGCATGTGACCAGACCTGGAGCCAGGTGAAAATTCTAGCAGAGAACCGAACGCAATGGAGACGTGGGACTGAAGCCCTATGTTCCTCTATGAACTAAAGGAAATAATAATAAGAATAATACATCTGTTTTGGTTGTCAAGGCCATCGTACACAGATTGTCGCGAATCAGGTAGATTGAGAAGGCAATGAAAACTTATGAAAAGTAGTGGAACCGGCTAAAAAGGACTATGGAGAATAAGGGAATGAAACACAGAGGTGTGCAGTTAAAGCCATTTCAAAATCAAAAAGGAATCACCATTATTATTATTAAATTGAGACATTTAGTGGAGACCGGTTTCACAGTGATCCATAATGTAACAATAATCAATATTATGTGTATGGGTGGTACAGCGATAGAATGCCCGCCAACCACACCTCACGTGATTTGAGGTTCGATCCCCGGTCACGGACGCACTACTCCTTAACCTCGGTTAAGCCAGCAATAAGACTGGTGAAAGAGGGAAAGTTAGGCATGAGGCTAGCAAGCCTATCCTGTAAAATATAAAACACCAGTGCTTGTAGCTTGATGGCACACTGTGTTCCACAGGGAACGTAAAGGAATATAAAAAAAATCAATATTGCTGTTTAGTTTATCTTGCTCACTTTAACAATATTCACAACTTCTTCAGCGTATATCTTCTTCCAAACATTGATCTCTTTATTATTGACAATTGCTTTCTCAGTCTCCGGAACAAATGAGCGCAAGGAGATTGGAATGCTGTGAAACAATTTTTTTAAATGAAAACAAAAAATCCATAAGAAAATAGTAATTTGATATGAATTTATGCTATTATGTCATTCCTAATATTATAGATTTCTCCAGGGGAGAAATTAATGAAGCTGACTCTACAGGAGAACCACCCCTGTTGTAGTGTATCGACAGAAGACAACGGCCAGGCAACAGATCGTTTATTGAGAAAAATCAAGAGATATTTATAGATTTTTATGTACATTATAGTCTGCGGAGAAGCAACGTCTTCTGATTAGTTTTAATTTAATTTTTAATTTTAATTTTTTTTTTAATTTTTGATTACAGCTTGATTCCACACCGTATTTTTGGTACAAGTGTGGAATTTTCAGCGTGGATATCGGTAGCCCAAAATTTGCAGGCCGACCATAGATATCAAGTGTGCGTCGGCGTGGGCTCGAACCCGGGACCATGTGCATGGTCGGCGAGAGTCCTAACCACTGTGCCACCGACGCACAGTAGTTGTAGCTTGTAGCTGTTTTTCAGAAAGTTAAGCCATATATCTGCAAATCATATTTGCACGCGTTAAGTCTGCTGTGATTGGTCGGTGAGTTCCTCAAGGTTAAGCCTTGTTATTGTTTTTCTCATGACCCCGATTCGAGGCGTAGCATTGACGTAAATTACTGTCTACAATTCTGGCTTGTAGTCAACTCTCACCACAGTAGTAAAATGTCTAACAGAACTGATATAAAACATCCGTAATCTGAGTTATTAAAGGCAAGGCATCCTGTTGCTCTACAAAAGCATAAAATATCTTCGATGCAAATAGTTTTTCAGCTGAATTTATAAGATTCTGGTCACTACATCCGTAGATAATACATTTTTATGAGTAGACTTGATGATAAGTTTTGTTAATGAAGATATCATGTTGGTTGACATCAAAGAAGTTTCCCTATTATTATTATTATTACTATTAATATTATCCCCTCTGGTTGTGAGAGGAACATAAGGCTTCGGAAATACATCTCCATTTCATCTTGTCCACTGCAGTCCTCTTCATCCGGCTGCACGATTGCATACCATCCCTCGTCTCCCCCTCACATGATCTCCTGCATGTCACTTGAACGTATGCTCAACGCGTTATGACATTCAACTGTTACTGGTAGGTCAACATATTTTCAGTAAGAAGAGAAGACAGTCGTAGATGGGAGTGTGAAATAGGGTGTTAGAAATGGTTTTTGTAATAGATACATCAAATTTGTGAAACACATACAGAAGCACTGAATGACTTGACTGTAGTGGTTAAAATCCGAACTAGCAAGTGTAATGACTAGATTTCTAATGCATTAATTTTATAATATTTTCTCAAATGATGAAGTATGTTATTCTTATTATTTTGAAACCATTTTAATTTCAGGTTGCGATTTGCTTCAAAGATAACTAACCAACCATCAACAGCAACCAGCACCAATCCCCATAAACGGGAGAGACTTGACAAAGGTCACTTCCTTGCCATATGTGGCTAGAAAACCCGGTTCTAACCACAGACGGACAGCGCGGATGAAAATTTCAAAGCCAGCCAGCCACCCAGCCAGAATTGGGAAGGCAAGATACGCCTTCATCAACCTGAAACCAGTTTGGAAGTCTTCTTCATGAGAGCAAAGAACACGATTCGGACATTCAACACAAATGTGAAGAAAGTCAGTTAGTCACTTCTCCCATACGGATCAGAAACTTACGCTGCATGTGTGGCACGAAAATCATTTTCAACAACCTGTTGCAGACTTTTATCAGCAGGTGCCTCCTTAGCTGGCACCATACTGAAGATCAAATGGCCAGATAGCTGGCAAAAAAGAATTAACAACGAGAAACTTTGGCTGTCAACGAACAAACCAACAGCCGATCTCTCAACAAATATGTAGGAGAAAATGGAAATGGACTGACCTAACATACGCAGAGGAGACCGTCGAACGACATAGCGCTCAATGCAGGTTATCACCCGAGTGGAATCCTAACGATGAACAACGAGAGGGTCTTCAGTGCGAGAGTTACATTGACAAGATGAGAGATTATGGGCAACCGTGGACCAAGGTGAAGAGAAAGACAGAAAATAGAAGAAAGTGGAGAAGTACTGTTGAAGCCTAATTTTCATTGAATCATATCCTTAGTTTCTTCAGCAATCGGATGAATCCTACACTGAATCCCAGGCACACATGCACGCATACATGAACTAAGGGTAACTGTGAAGTATCTTGGAGTTCTTAGTGCTAAACTGGTGATCATGTAACAAATAAAAAGGAATATAAATCATTAGCATCGATTCTCAATATTCAACTACTTTACAAGATTTATGTAACCACACAATGAAATAACCTCATACAATTCTTCCTACAAATAAACATCAACAAAACAAGAACGACAAATACGTACCAGGAGATAATATGAGCTCATTTAAAAAAAATTATTTCTACGATTTTCCTCAACTGTCTGAAACCTACCAAGTCTGTGTTTGTATGTATCAAACGATCAGTTGTTAAAGACAATCAAAAGCAGACAAGGTACCACCTCGTGTTAATTCCAAACTGTGTCTACTAGTCTACATGTACGTGACTAAGCACATCTATTGGAAGAACAGACAGGAGGTTTATTGATCGCATTTCTGAACAAATACAAAATGAAACCTGAGACTAAACGGCTCACAGGCATCAAACGGTGCGACTGGGCACCATCTATTCAACACTGATCATATTGTGGACAATCTGAAGGTGTTACAAATAATCAACAGGCAAAAGAAATCTAGCCTGCCACGTTTTGCTGAGGCAGTCACTATCAAACGATTTAAACCGAATCTATGCAGGCAAAATGAGACAGTTGTGTACCTTACACTGCCTTGGTTATAACAAAACATACAAATTCTATAACATCATCTTCTGTTATGCCTGGAAAACTTTACTGTTTCAACTAAAAATGACTTACTCTATTCCCCTTTATGGCTGTTATACAAACACATTTCCTGTAGTTACGTAACCTATTATGCTGGTATACACTTTCCAGTCAAACCTTTTTCTAACCAAAATAGGTTTCATGGAGGATTTCATCGTGAGCTGACATCGGTTAGAGAACCATTGGAAAACCACCTAGGAGTACTGGACAGCTGTTTCGTCAGCCTAGTTTGGGACTCTTCAGCAGTACGCACTCACTGGGATTCTAACTCAGGACCTTATGGTTACAAGGGTGCGTACTGATGAAGAGTTCCAAACTAGGACGAAACAGCTGTCCAGTACTCCCAGGTATTCCAGTGATTCTTTAACTGATGTCAGCTCACGATGAAATCCTTCATCCAATGAAACAAAATCCCTACAAAATCAATACTTCAAAAATGGATTTGTTGAACTCTCTTGTCTTTTTGTTTCCAATTATCTCCTGGTACGCGTTTGTCGTTCATGCTTTGTTCAAGTAGAATAACCATTGCATAATAAGATACAACTCTCATCATCAGTGATCTTAAAGAGTTCAGCGGTATACTGAAGACATTTTTACTATGCCTGACAGTGAAATGTCAGTGATTATAAATATAACAGTGACCTACCTCATTTCATTTGAAGAATTTCTAAAGATAACTGCACTCATATCTGAAAATGATTCACCCAAACACCTCTGAAATGAAAAAAATAATAATTGCAAAATCGATTACTATTATTATTACACGAAAAGCATTTTTCCCCTAATCTTTCAAGTTTATAAAGTACTTTATTTCAATTTTAGATTTTCCTGTCGATTGATTGGACCTAAGTGCTCGGTCTCAGGTTGACATGTCGGCTTCTAGTGCAGATGCTTCGACGATGTCTGGCCAGGTAATTAGAAGTTTATTGGCAGATGGTGACTAGCAATGGAATCCAGGATAACGCGCATTTCGTCCAATTTGGGACTGGTCAGCCGACTGATGCGCCTGCATTCCGCAGTGAGTGATGACATGTCAACCTGAGACCGAGCACTTCGGTCCAGTCAGTTGGCGGGAAAATCTGAAATTAAATTAAATAATTAACATGACCTGTTACACAAGAGGTGGCCAGCTCTCGTGGCCCAAGTGGTCTAGTGGATAACGCTTCGGTGTTTGAAACTGTGAGCCCTGGGTTCGAGCCTCGGTAGGGACATCATCACTCACTGAGAAATGCAGGTACATCCAGCTAACGAGTCCCAAATTGTATGAAGTGCGCGTTATCTTGGATTCCACTGCTTGTCACCATTCGCCAACTTACTTTTATAAAGTACTGTTCAAAAAGCAGCTCGTAAATTTCTTCTTATATCAAAAGTCTTTTACTAACCTCAGTTCATCAGCTCTTCTTGAAACACATTTTGTAATTTATAAGAGGTCACTTTCTTCACTTACCTAGGCAGCATTGTTTCAACTACAGGCATTCAGTACGGATTAGGACTTCAATGCCAGTCAGGATCACAAAAGCATGATAGATGCCTTCGTCACTCTGAGATCAGTGTGGAAAGCTGCTCAACTCAGCATTAACACAACAAAATTCAGATGAATGTCTTGATGAGGAACTTAATACTATTAAACGGTTGCTGAGTGAAAACGGTTATTCAGAAAAGAATATGATTGCAAAATCAAGGCAGCCCGAGATACCAACAATTCCTAAAAAAGTTTTATTCCTACATATTCAGTTCCTCGAAGATATCATCAGCGAGATACTAACACAACGCCTTAGGAATGCGATAAAAAGAGCATTCGCTGCTACTGAATTACGCTGTGTCTTCAAAAGCACCAACCCCTACTTTGTGTTCTGGAGTCAATGATCAAAAGATACATGAGTAAAACTGATTAGACATTTGAATAAAAGACAAGCTCTGTGAGCTAAAGGACCCGGTGAACCTACTTAAACAAAGTAATATAATTTACAAAATACCTTGCAATAAATGTGAGTTAAGTCAACTACATAGGTTAAACTAGTAGATCAGGTGTAGTCAGATTGCCTATCAGAACATAAGAACTTAGCTAGGGTTATGATGATTGATCCCACGAAGATAAGTAATTTAGAAATAAAATCAGCACTGCATGCATTAACACACAACACGGTGGGTTAGAGAAAAAATTATAGAAGGTAACATAGGTAGGTGGAGAGGGAGAGATTGATTCCTCTATCCTCCCTGGTTCATCGAGTCTACACCCAATACAATACATGCAACAGAAATGACTCAACACAAAAACCAGAGATCTGGAAGATATTATTACCACCAGTCAGTCAAATCAGAAGACAGTAAATAGTGTTAAAAAGGAATTCCATCAATTCACATTCTAGCATTCTAACATGTTACTTATTTCGACTATAAAATCACTCGTCTTATTTCCCATTTGATTGTAACTGATCAACAGTACTCATATTATTATTTCTAAGTGTACTTTATCTTATATTGATTTTATTCAAATGTCTAATCATCAATTTTTACTCATGTATATAAATGAAACAAGAAAGTTGTGTGAGTAGTGCCTTGATATGATTATAAGTGGCAGCAATAAATTGTGCTCGAAACGTAGTCGCATCAGTCAATACTACTGTACAACACTGTGTGATTTATTAAAATAAAATCTCACCTATAATGGAGTTATACTCTACCACAGTGCTCAAGTTTTATACTTATATGAAAGACCTTGAGTTTGGCTGTTGTAATAGTTAAACTACTCCCAAAAAACTGATTCCCACTTGGAAGGATTAGATTTAGTCAACTAATAACCATTAAAAATACAAAAAATAACGAGAGACTTTTTTTGACTGCATTGAGGATTTCATCATGAGCTGACATCAGTTAGAGAATCACTGGAAAACCTGCCAGGGAGTACTGGACAGCTGTTCATATCGTCCTGGTTTGGCACTCTTCAGCAATACCCACCCGCCACAGGGAGATTGGACCCAGGAACTTCTGGTTACAAGGCGAGCTCGTAGACCACTGAGCCATTGGGATGAAATCCAATGGTCCTTGAATTCCAAATTCTGCCAATTCACGACACAGCTCGACTACTTGGCAATGTCTTCTTCGATGAATTACTGCCTCATCTTCAACCTGCTGTAGGGTGCCTACTGGTCACGGCTTCCCACTAGAACCCTAGGTTGACTGCCTGAATAGGTCCAGTCGCTAGTGAGCATCAGATTAATTCTCAAGTTGGCAGAAGTTAGAATTCAAGGAATGGCTATTGGATCGGGTCCCAGTGGCTCAATGGTCTACGAGCTAGCTCTCCTTGTAACCAGAAGGTCCTGGGTTGGAACCCGGTGGGTGCTTACTGCTGAAGAGTCTCAAACTAGGATGATATGAACGGCTGTACAGTACACCCTGGCAGGTTTTCCAGTGGTTCGCTAATTGATGTCAGCTCATGGTGAAATCCTCCCTTCAATCAAACAAAATCCCTACACAACCAATACTTGAAACTTATTCTGTTGTTGTTGTTATTTTTCAATTATTTGTTGAATTTAGTTTTCTTACCGTTTCATTAGTATTCGGTAAATAAACCAACCATTCATCATTATTATCATCATTATCAACGTCATCATTATGACACACATCAACTTTGACGTCTCTAGTGAGTGATATCTCAATATTGAGAAATGCTAATCAAGTTAGTAAAGCGAGAGATGTGACAGATTCCAGTATTAGCTTTTTAATTATCGTCAATAGTACTGGCGTCAATCACTCTTAGGAGTATGAGGTAGATTTAATTATTCAAAGCGCACAGTCACTCACACGTAGATCTAATTTTTAGCATATCTCGAGCATATTTGCTGCTCACATCAGTGGATCGGGTTACTCTAAGTTCCCATTCATCAAAATGACTCTTATTGACTGTATTTTATGGGGGTATTTTTTAATTATCTAATTATACGTTCTTGAATCGCAGTTGGTAATTATATATAATCTAAACTCCTTCCATTCCTTTGAATGTTTTTAGCAGGACCTGAGGCTTTAAGCTCCAGCTGTTAGGTTTCAGTAACAGAGTTGATTTCTTTCTCAGGTGGGAGTTGAATTTGTTAGCCTTATGCACAACCTTGACCTTTTTGCTGGGATTATTACTGACTAGCGAGTTGGGAGAGGTTTAGGAGTACGCCAGCCATGGATCGAACTGTGAATCTCATGCGTAGCTGACACACTCTTCAATTTACCGGTATGGAGTTTTTCGAAGGGAAATAGAACAACAAGATAGTAGAGGGGGTTACAGAGATAGACCAATATCGCTTCAAAGGATATGTATATACTAAAAATTATGAAAATATTCAAGTGTTGGTTTTCAAGGATTTGATTGGTTTCCGGATTTCATCATGAACTAATCCACAAAGGGAAACTTACTGAATCCTTCGAAAAAGTGAAGACGGGAGTAAGATAAGCTGACTGCCTACTATCGCCAGTGATTTTCCTGATTGCAGTAGATTGGATAGTACGGTAGACGGTTAGCGGATAGCGAAAAAACAGGTATGAAATGGACACTCACGAAAAACTTGGAGGATCGGGACTTCGCCGATGTTAAATGTGTGTCTGATTTCCCACAAATTGGAAGATATGCAAGTAAAAACCAACAAGTTGGCGATAGAAGAAGCATCCAGAGAAGAAAGGACTTCAGGTGAAAACAGAGAAAACAGAGGTGATGAAGATTCCTGGCCCGCAACAACAACAACAGATAACAATCAGCAGCATAAATGGGAGGAACCTAAAAGAAACAACCTCCTTTACCTACCTACCTACCTACCTACCTACCTGGGAAGTATCGTTGCAACTACAGGCGGACGGAACTGACGAGGATATCAAATTAAGGATCGAGAAAGCAAGACAAGCTTTCATTACTCTCAAGTCTGTATGGAGGTCAACAGCCCTCAGAATAAAAATTAGATCCGCATTTTTAACTCCAGTGTGAAGTCAGTGCTACTACACGGGTCGGAGACTTGGCCAGTGCTCCATAAAGAGGACCTCAAACAAACTACAGATCTCCATCAAAAGCTGCCTTCGCTCAATGCTACTCAAGATCAGATGGACAGAAAATATCAGCAACAGGGATCTCTGGCGGCAAACCAACCCAGCAGGGACAGATTGTGCAACAAATAAGCATGGATAAATGGAGGTGGATTGGATTGACCACACTCTGAGGAAACCATCAAGTGACATCACTAGACAAACCATTGCTCGGGTTGGCGGTCAGTACAAGAGTGACCTGGAGGTCATGTGAAGAGGAAATGAAAGCATGTAGGAAGACCTGAAGCCAGGTGAAATCTTTAGCACAGAATCAAACGCAATATAGACGTGCATTTCTATGTTCCTCTAGAAATTAAAGGAAATGGTAATTATTATATTAACGATTAGAGAACCATTGGAAGATCTTGAAGCACTGGCTAGCTGTTTCTTCCTTGTTTCAGACTCTTCGTCAGTACGCACCACCTGATGAAATCCTGAAACCAATCAAATCCTTGCAAAAAAGCACTTGAATATCAATCTGATGCTCAGTAGTGACTGACCCTATTCCGGTAAGTAGTTACGGGGGTTCTAGAGGGAAGTCCTGACTAGTGCGGAGTACAGCAAGTTGGGTGTGAGGGCAAATACTCGCCGATTTTATTCGCTAGTCGTCTCGCCATATAGCGAAATTAGCAGAAGTTGGAATTTATGGGCTG